TTCTCCACCCCGCACAACATGATCTACTCGGCCACCATTATGGTTACCGCGAAAAGAAAAAACAGAGGTAAAAAATAAAAACGGTAACCTGGTTGCCGAGTTCACGAAGTGAATTGGCCTGTTTTACAACGTCGTTGCCAATCGACGAAAACCCAACCCCGATGGCAAACACCGAGGGGGGGTGGGGGGGGCGAACTCTTATGCTTTGCATGCCTTAGCGGTTAGACCATTGAACCCGCGTCCTCGAGAGGACGGGGGGGGGGGTAAGGCACAGCTATTTGTTTGCGCCTTAGGTTTCCATCCAACAGCCGTTGGCCCATTGACAACCCCAAGCCATTAGATATTGAGTCTATGCACTTGTTTGCACGGCTGGAGATTTGAGGTTTCGTGTCACATGTCGAAGACGTCGTGTCGTCACGTTCACCTTTTTTCTCCTCTTCACCAGGGTAACCTCGTGATAGGGCCCTCAATCCCCCTTGTTGCATCCACGACACTGCCTGCCCCTTACTCCCGACCCGGACCAAAATGGGCTTGAAACGCCAAAGGGGGATGCTAAGCTTTGCTGGGAGTGGGCCTAATTCGCGCAGCACACAGGTGAGAGAAGAGAGGGCCGATGTTGCTATCATCCGTCCTTTCGGAAAGAAGACTGAAGGGATATTTGCGTTTGCTTGGCCTTTGCCGGTGACTCGAGCCGGGGTTCGTTCGTGCCTCCTCGAAAGAGTGAAGGGATTGTGCAGGCGGACCGGTTCGCGAAGATTCTAGTTTTTTCACTGCTGTGGTGAACATGAAACATTTTGCGTATTTCCCAGTGGGAACGTGAACGTCTAACGACAGACTAGACCCATGTCTCAGTCTGACAAACATTTGGTGTTATAACATCCTCGCCTAAACTGATCCTTGTGTTGAAACAGCCGTTTTTTTTCGGTCGTGAGATTCCAAGTGGATGGTGGCCCGCAGGCAGGAAAACGCCGCCACCCCGACACCCGCGCCTTGCATCGCCCTCTTTTTGTCTTTGCCGTGTGCCGATCGTCCGTAAAGGTCTTCATCACGTTTGCAGACATGCCACACCTGGGCAAGACCCCATGGGAAACCCCTCTCGGCATCGTCACACAGGGGATGGACACGGTTGTGGACAAGTTTTACACCGGCTACGGCGACCAGCAGCCCTTCAACCAAGATGGCATTAACCAGGGCACTTTGCAGTCACGCGGGAACGCATACTTGAGGTACGCACGGCGCAGTTCTTTGGGGGGTTGTTTTTCCGAGCGAGAGGCTGCTCTTGTTTGGCGGTGCTGAGGTTGTGAGCAAAACCCGCACCTTTGCCGTGTTTTGGCGAGATACGTGATGGACCAGCAACCGGAGCGCCTTCAACCCCACCTCGCTGCCTCCCCCCTCTCTCTACGGCGGCGCCCCTTGCCGCGATCGTGCCTGCCACAGAAACGACTACTTTTTATCATTTAATGAATTGCACAACCAACTCGAACACAAGTGTGGTGCTTTCAGACTCTCAACTTCGACACAACGATCGAAAATATTGTACAAAAGTTCAAGTTGACACGACGATGGAAAATGAGGTACAAGTATGATCGTGGCAAAGAAAGAGCGTGCGGGAGACTACAAGAATGTCGACCTTAGCACAACGCCCGTAAAGGGTACAGATGACGGATGACAGATGATAGATGACAGATGACGGATGACGGATGACGGATGACAGATGACAGATGACGGATGACAGATGACAGATGACAGATGACGGATGACAGATGACGGATGACAGATGACGGATGACAGATGACGGATGACAGAAAACTCTTGGTGTGTTAAACGTCGTGCAAAAGCAGGAATGCTTCCGCTCAAAGCAGCAATGGCTGCGGGAACTCGACGTGGCAACAACATCGAGCAATAACTAGCCGTATGTACCACAAAGCGATTGCCAGCGATGGCTTCAACGAGGAAATATTGCGGTAAAACGAAACTGTAGACTGATTGGATACCGTCAAAGGGAACATAGGGAAGGGCATCAGAGGAAAAGGGAGATATGGCAGCGACAGAAACTGTCGAGGGATGCCAGGAAGTACAAGATGAAGTAGGATTGAACAACAGGAAGGGTCAATGATGAGATAAAACGTGGGAAAATATATACATGCTTGGAGGAACGTGTACAGGAGCCACCCAAAGAAAAGAAAAGGTTAACAGCTGAAATTGACCGATGGACTCTTGCGAAGAACCCCGAAACTGAACTGTGGGATAAGGGGATTTGGTTTTCCCAACAGGAGAAAGGTAATATATATACAGAGTCCGCCACAACTGGAGGTTACGGAAAACTTCGGGTTCAGGATCTTTACCGTAAGATCCGGTGCTCAGCAATGGATCCTATGCGGAAACCTGTATCGTCGCTCTTAAGTTACCCCCACAAAGGAATAAAACACGAGCCTCCGGCAACATAAAAGAGCTTCTTGAGAGGTGGCACGTTTTGTACCAGGAGTAGGGTGGAGGTGAAAGGTGATGCGCAGATATGTTCATGTAGCGAGGCCAAAGAGAACAGGCGCTCATTTAGTTTGGGAAGGAAACCTATTGTTGAGTATGAAGAGAAAAGAAGAGCGAAACTCCGCCCAGAATTTTTTTTCTTAACAGATGGGAGCGACCGTGGTAAAGTTTGGTTGATGAGGTAAACTTGAGAAATCCAAAACACGACATAGAAAAACCATGGATGGTGGCAACGAAACGCCAAACAAGGCGGGGCTAAGATGGCCATGAGTTTCCACTTGTCACATGGCGGAAAGATAATAATGCTCTTTTCTTTTCGTTCTCGTTCTCACGCAGGGAAGAATTCCCAGAAATATCGTACTTGAAGGAATGCCGCGTGGTTGGCGAAACGGTCCCGGAGGAGCACGCTTCCGCACACCTAGAAAAACAGCAAGAAAACCCTGGTGGGGGAGAATACGGCGACGTCTTGCGCCCCCCCCCGGTAATAATGAAGGACGAGTTTATGGTGCCGCAAGCAATGGAGATGGCTGTGCCGCAAACGCCGAAGGAGCTTGCCGGTGGGAGGGACGGCGATGGGACGAGCGACAACCAGAGCGTTAATTTCTCGACAATCGTGTTCGTCGCTTTGGCTCTCGGCGCCCTTGTGTTGGTCTGGAAGAAGAGCAAGAAGGACGAACGAAGCATTCGCTGAAACTCAAGGAAGGTTTGACCTGACAGACCCGTCATGCAATGGCCGTGTGAAGAACGTTGTACGACAGGACGTCGGGTCGAAGAGGAGAAGTAGGACCCTGCCGGACATGGGCTGCTTGCCAATCGTCGTGTAGATGGGTTTTTGGTCGGTTTGCATTGGTTGTGATGTGAACACTCTCTACGTTTCGCAGAGGCCCATCCTTGTGTACAGTAGACCTCAGTGTATTTAGCCATTCGTCGTGATTTGCGTGCGGTGCAGCAACGCCTCGGCTCGTGATGCTGAAATCCAGTTCAGAGGCCCCAAGGGCACCCTTTTGACTGCTGCTGCTGCTGCTGTGTGCTTATCTTCGTGCTTCTCTATGAACGTTGCTGTTTAAAAGCGTAGCAGCTCTTGTCACTTCTAGGGATTCTTCTGTCTCATTCTACGAATCTGGATAGCATCGACGTCCGCGATTGTGACTGCAACTACCGAAGCACGCCAAGAGTCGTCTCCCGCCCCACTGTATTGCTCAAGGTGCAGTGCACTTTTTGCTGGTCGCGGGGCTAAATTTCTTTTGAGACGAAAACAATACTTGCTCCTCCCCGTGCGCTTGGGTTGGGCCTCAGGGGGGAGTAATAGTGTTTTTGTTCGCGCAACAGGTGTGTTTTCGTCGAGACACACACGGCACCCGGAAGCACCTCCCATGCACCCCCGTTTTGCTGCCATTCCGCTTTTGCTCTTGGCTTTCTGACGTAGGGCTGGCTTGATCCAAGAAAGAGAGCAGGAGGAGTTCCCCCCCCCCCCCGGGGATCCGCCCCCCCACTTCCTGCGAATGTATTTCTTGTTTTTGACGACTCTTCTCGAGTTGGACCCTGGCGTCCTTTTTCGTCATTTTTGACGGGCATCCCCCCCGGCAAAGATACTGCTAATCTTGATTGTTTTGCGAAAGGTGAAAGGTGGCTGCGTCGTTTCCATGTTTGGCGTTTGAAAGGCTACAGAATATTGGAGCTGTGCAGGGAACTGCTACCTCGTATAGCGTTGCCAAAGCGTGCGACTTGTTGTATGGGTGTGAACCAGAGTGTCCATGTTGTCAAAGCGAAGCTGGATTTTGTCTCATGCGGAAGTAAACTGTGCTTGATGGTCGCGAATAGTACAAACGTGTGTACACAAAGTTTCACGGTTCACAGAGAGCAAGGAAGGGGCGACTTATTCTCGCGATAACAAAATTAAGCCAAGCACATCGCAGACGGAAGGCGCAAAAGTTAATTACTCCTGTGTGCCCTTCCTCCTGTCCATGTGAACCCGCCTGGTAGGTCCAACGGCATGCCGACAATAGGAGGGCAACGCAAACACATGCACACCCACCCGCAGCTTGCGTGTGGACCAGTGCAGCGCACAGGCGAGTCATTAAACGTGCATGTAAACGGTGGAATCTGTATCTATTTAAGGCCTGGTGGGGCGGCAAGATGCAAGTACGCAACAACGCTTTTTGGTCAATACCCTGGGGGTGCTCCTCATGGAAATATCGACAACGGCCCTCTCTCCCGTCCGTGACGCCCCTTTACCTCCTTATCTTCGTCGTCCATCAGTTTCTTGGTCGATGTTTGGTCGATTCGTTTCTTCCTGGGCGCCTGGGATTTTGCGCTCGGTAATATTCCACGCATAAACATGCGAGGCGAGCTGACTTCGAGTGCCTTTGACCGAAAAATTAGCGCGAGCCATCAACGATGACGTTCTTCTCCTAAGATCGAACCGGAAGAATATGTGATCCCTAACCTCATGTCGACGTCCTTTCTCGATCTCCGACGCTATACACCCGTGCTTGCAGTATAATGGAGTTAGGCCGCCGTCGATTCAACAGACAGGAGACAAGACACAAAAGCTCGGAGGAAATTGAATCCCCTGATCGAACTCTAAAAAGCGTTCGGTTCGAACCGAGAAGGACTGATGACCTCAAACTCGCACGACTTTGCCACGCTACCTCTAGCAGCAGTAGCAGCGTTTCGACTTAAGGTATGTAGTTGTTGATGCTGATGCCGCCTGTCAGTTCTCCCCCCCCCCTCTCCCTTACCTTCTTCACTGTGTAGCTCGTCACGGTATTCGAGTCCAAACATCATTCTAAGTCCATCCATGTCATTCACGATCTGTCTGGGAGTGTGACAGGCGTCCGCACGCTCGGCGCCGCCGCTCTGCGTGGTCCCGCTCTGGACCATCACTGCTAAAGTCGATGACACCCCGTACCTCCTACTAGATAAAGGTTAACCTAGACTACTCTAATCGTAAGGGTTGGCCTTTACTATCTAATACCTCCGCTGCCTTCACTCGATAACCATGGCGCTGCGTCCCATCTCTTCTGGCGGCTTTGCAGGGACCACCATGAGTACAGGACGATCAGCCCCCTCCTCAACAACTGTTGCATTTGTTGGTGCTGCGCCAGGGCCAGTAGCAGCAGCAGCAGCAGCAGCAGCAGCAGTCCCTAACATCGCCCTCTTGGCCTCGCGCTGTCGACTCTTGACAAAATCGGCGGGTTTCCCCCCCCCTGAGGCGCCTAACGACTGACTCCGCCACGCACCGAGGTTCGTAAGCGCCCAAGATTGGTGGCCGTACGTTGCCATGTCCACCTTTGTGTTGCGAATGTATTTAAGGAGTGAATGACAAAACGGGGTCGGAGCGATGCAATGTCTCTCACTTTGTCGGAATCTTTCAACAGTACAAATAGTAGGGATGCCGACAACGGCGGCGTTTTTGGTCGAGATCTTTCCACAAACGTATCGTTTCGTTTATACATTCTCTTCGTCGTGGAGTAATCCAGCTTTGAACATGGGTCCAGGGAGTGTGTTATCTTGTGTCGTATACGGTAGTAGAACGTCGGGCTTGTGCTGATTCCGTACCTGTACGTTCACTGTCGTACGTGAGATTGACATGAGCTCCGAAGAACAACGTATCCGTTGGCTGGGGGTTGTGTGCGTTGTGTCTCACCTTCGCCTCGAGGCCCTTCGATGCCATGGCCTCCTTCGATGGGAGTGACCCAAGCCAATTGCCGAGCCCCACGCTTCCGTCGATACTATCGTCGCCGGTCTTGAGATCTCCAGGGCTCAGTCCACAGCCTCTATGATGTCTCTGTTGTCGACAAGGAGCGCAAAAGGTGGAACCGACATGTGCAAGCACAAATCATTGAGTGAGCAGCGTGAAGCCGTGGCACAGCAGTTTTTCATGGATACATACCGTCAGATGTTCATCTCAGTATCCTTAGCGATGCCATCTCACATGTCGTCCGGGGGTTGAGGGTTGGGTAAGTGGGAACACATAGGGACGGGATGCTCGAGGGTATAAAATGACTGGTTACAGCTCAAAAAAATACCACACGACTCTTGACTTCCCGAGAGGATCCCCGCAGCCCGCAGAAAGCCGTGGTTGAGGCGACGGGTAAGGCCCAGGAAGTATCGAGGGAAACGTGCAAACCTGCGCCACATTAGTACCGCTGAACAGTCGTGTATCGGGTGTGCGCTCGTGGTTTCATTTCATTAACCTACAGTATGCATTGTACGCAATACATACACGTAGACGGGAGTCCGCGAAGACGTGCTTTCGACTCTCAAACGTCCACTCACACATCAAGCGATGCGTATGGTTCACTGCTTGTCGTCGTCTTGTTGTTTTCTTCACATTAAACTCGTGTCAGTTGATAATCCCAAAATCAAGCAAAGACTCGGTCCGTGGTCACAAAAATGCTAAGAGTCATCAGAAGATCTAAAGAACACGCACACTTTCAGCAAGAAAAGGGTACATAAGCCCGAGGAGGTACACCTACAATCCCTGCAGTACGTTTGCGTGCTCACAACTGAACTACACGCCCACACACTACTAATCGACTACAGCAGCAGGATCACCCCCCCTTGTCCCGCACTTTACCACAACGAAAGTTTGCCGACTACAGCGTACTGCTGTCTGAAGTGCTGTCTGTACAATAATAACACCATGGTGCATGGTACACAAGCTTGGGGCATGCAGCGACTGTCTGAAGTGCTGTCAGAATGTGTCCGTGGACATACAATGAAGAAGACCAACCAACCAAAGCCATAATCGGAATTGACAATCACCCGAATCTATCCAGATCATCTGTGCTAGACAAAGCATCGTGAACATCGACACTGACTAGGAATCGTTCCACATTGAAGGGGTCTTCCACGATGCAGGTACACAAATAAGGCACCCGGGTTATCCGCGCCAGCTCTGCCGCGGCTCTCTACAAAACCAGTGACGACGTCATCAGACACAACCAACACCTATAGTCTAGTCTATTCAGGGAAAAAACGAAATATATTTGATAACACAAGAGATGTTTGTCCGTGCGCCGCAGTTCGATGCCGTCCGCATGATCCGGTTCCGCTGCTCCGGTGCCGCTGCTCCGGTGCCGCTGCTCCGGCGCCGCTGCTCTGGTGTCGCTGCCGCCAGTCCTGGCACGACCGAACTCGACCCGCTCCGTTCGTACACGCTCTCGTTGCTTTTCTTCCCAGTCGGTTCCTCGCTTTCTCCCTCGTTGCACTTCGGGTTCTTGGTCTGAAAATTCTCGCGTCGAAGGGTCAACCAGCCCAATCAGCTCGTCACCACCTGTTCCCTCCTCCTTTGATGGCAAAACCAGGCTACTGAGACAGTACACCTCCCTCTAGCAAACCTAGGGCCGTGTACATAGTGCCGGTCCACCTTTCTGATGGCGTCTGCCTCCGCGCACGAATGTGAGATGGGCATTGCTGCCTACACCGACGGCCATGGAGGCCCGCGCATCTGCACCTTTGTACCTGACGCACCAGTGCCGACCCAACTTTACTACTACGCACGCGCGGCGGGTGCGCCGCAGCAAGAAGGTATCGGTCCCTTTAGGGTGAGTCTAGCCCTGCTCGCTAGAAAGACCCCCCCCTCGCTATGGGTCATGCCTAAGCAAAACCTTGCCGAGGCAGCGAGGGGAAGGAGAGTCTACGAAGCAGTGCACGTGATAGTGCACATAAGATTCTGTCGAAAACTCGTGTTGATGTGAGGACGGTGCGGTGAAGGTACACACGAACACACGTGACGGCACACACGAACACACGCGTCGACGCCTGGCACTGCTGCACTGCTGTCAATTTGACCGACATTTGAATGTTGAAATCGTACAAGAAGGGGGCGGTGGTTGAGCAAGATACACATGACTATGGAAATAGAGCGGAAACGACAGACGATGAGTCTAGAGCCAAAAAATCAGCATCACCTGCTTCTTCAGGTCGGACATGGACTATGGGATGGAGCGACTTATCTCCCTGTGTCCCAGCTTGCCTGTCCTGGCGTGTGTATGTGTGAGCTGTGAGCTTGCCCGACTCGGGTTGGGGGCTCCGCAGCTTATTACAAATCCACGGGACCAACTCTCATATCCCGGTGCCCCAACAACGTTACTTTACTTGTGTTGTGTTGTGTGCTGCTCAATCAACACGGACTACTGCTGTTGCCCTGGTGGCCGCTTCGGATGGGTACCTTCCGAGCCCTCGCTGGCTTCCTTGCCCTGATAGGAGCCAATAAGGTCCTTTCGTTTGTACCAGGTAAATGAAATCGTTGTGAAAGAAGGCTGCACAGGAGTTGAAGTGCTACATGCGGCTCATGAACCTCCGGCAACACATCTGTAGTCTAACATTTTCCCCAACAGTACCATGCAGTAGCTGACCTGGGTTGCACTTGCCGTCACAGAGTAATGTTGGTCGCTGGCTTGTTCCCGGCTCAGGTGGTCAACTCAACGTCGCGAGGTTTTCGAGGAGTGTCAACCGGTTATCGTGGGCGACAACGCGATGTAGTGGTGTCAGACCACTCGCAGCGAGTGTTCCCAACGGGATTGGAGAGGGCAAGCGCGTGGGGTTTGCCTCAGGATCGGAGGACGAGGTGGGTGCGATGTGCTAAGCAATACCATGGGTACGTGCGAGTTGAACCTCGACTTTGTGTCATTGTGCATCCTACAGCAGTAGCTGCTTCCTAAGCTCGGGGGCTCTCCCGTCGCATCGTGGAGTTTTCTTCTCGTAAACCTTCGAATCTGTCTCGGTACCAGCCGACCCCATTTGGAAGCATGTTTACTTCCTTACGTAGCCGGTGAGTAGTGCTGTAGGTCGTCCACCTCGACTACGGGTGTGTCTAAGCATCGCGTTGCCGCAGCACGGGAAGCTTCAGGACGTTACAGCACTCGGTACAATAGTTCAACATGTCCTCGGGCAGCGGTAAAGTGCCCGACTCATGCAAGCTCACGATGCGGCTGACATGGAACAACCACTGCTGTGGCATGGTGCCCAACCACGTACAAAACTCTCATGCCCCCACAATCGCGTGTGCGTGGCGGATCGTTCGTTTGGGCTTTTTACGATGCGAGTGAAGGAGGAAGAGGAGGAGGAGGGGGTGGACGGAAAGACGAAGGCGAAACTGCAGACGGTGAACGCGCGCCTTCTGGCGCAGATCGAAGAACAGGTATATACGCATACGACTCGACTTTCACGGGTGCCCGACGGCTAAGACCAGACACGCAGCGTGGAAATGGCGTTGACACCTCGGTACTCTGTACGAGGTGCCTCACGATGAGAATTGTGGTGTCAAGTTTAGGCACATGAAATTCTGGACATGACGGTGTTTTATCTGGGATTCTCGCAGATTGGTGTGCAATCGACTGGTGCGTGCGGAGACTTGTTGTTCGGCGAGAATCGTGGCAAACCCTTCGGCAATCCGCCGCTGTTGAGAATAAACCTTTTCCGCAATAGCTGGTGCCCAAACAACCACATTCGTGTACACATCACGTCATCACGCTCTGCCTTGATGGCCTTGGCCCATTAGCGTTGAATTTGTTACGTTCTACGCCACCAGTGACCCTGCCGTTCGCGGGAAATGCTGGCTGCCGTTCGCGTTATGTTGAAACATGACTGCGGTCACGCAGGGCAAAGGGATCGTCATCCCAACAGAGGAAAGCAAGAAGATTAAGCGAAAAGAAGAGGACTTGAACGGAGTCAATCCGTTCTACGCGATTCTGGGTGCTGGGGGCGCCGCGGCAATGTCTTTCGGGTCCTGGAAGGTGACTCAAGCGGAACGTTTGACCCACAAATAACCCTGTTGTTTACCAGATTGTTGACTGATTCATAGCTGTCCGTGAGGCCAGGTTTCATGCCAAGGAAGGGCTTTGGAGAGGAGCGGAGTTTATGGGGCTACTGATGTAGAATCGAACGAACAGCATCTACAGTAGGTTTCCCTTGTGTCGAGGTTGATTACGCTTTTTCTTGCTCGTTCGACCCCAGAGGGAGTTGTACGTTAGAGGTCTGAGACAATCACAACAAAACCGAACGCCGATAAAGAGGCTACTTGCCACCTACGCGTGTCGTACGATATCGATGCAGCTTCTATGCCTTCCGTGTCACTCGTTTTTATTATGGGTCTTCGACGCGGCACGCCACAACAGCGTTGACTCTGATTTTGCACGGCCGTTGACTTTGCCGTTGCGTATGGCGCTTGTTGGCCGATGGCGCCGCAGGCGACGCTCTGGCTAGCCCAGGCGTACTACAGCAAGCCCGCGGAAGAGAGCGACATTCTAGCTGTGGCTCGCATGACGTCGTTCATCAAACAGGTCAGTCTCGTCCTTCAACTTACGAAGGTTGCTGCTCTTCCCTCCCGCTTTCGGCAAACAACCCTTGTGTTCGCTTTGATCGAAAACAAGATGTGGCCATTTTGGTGTGGAACAATAGTGTGCAACAACAATCGAAGCGCCATCATGACCAAATGTTCCTGGGTTGAGCGTATCGATGAGAGCGTTTAGCTCCCCGACGTTGCGATCGGTGGGCGTTGATTTTTCCAGGGTTGTGGGATTCTCATCACGTAAACAAACCACTCTCGTCGTCGTCATCCCGACGCGCATGTAGGTTCAACGCATCAATCCGACCGACTTGTGCGCGTTTGTGACGCAGGCTGTGGTGGGGCTTTTCGCTCTTGGCGCTGGCATCTTTGGCGTCACGGCTTTGGGGATGGGTGTAATGGCGGCGATTGTAGCGGTGGGCGTGGCCAAGGGCGAGCTGGACCCTTCGCCAGAGGTTCGTGGTGGGCCAATGGGGTACAGCAGTAGCACCACTGCGCTTTTCGGCGGAGCGATGGAAGGAAATACATGCTAGAGCTGGTTTACGTCAGGCCGTCGTTCGTTCATGAATTTTAATGAGAAGACGGCCCGGTTTCGACGCGATTAGACTTCAATTTACCTTCCGTTTGTACTCTATAGGTCTATATGCCATCGTACCCAGAGTGCGGCACATCCGCTGCTAAGACCACGATGCCTCGAATTTGCTAAGTTGGTGGCCCTGACCGCACCCTGTGTTCGCGGAACCATGCAACGGTTTCAACCACGCATTCAGTTTTTTTTTCGTTTTCGGAAGGTGTTGTGCCAAAGAGCCGTATTCTCTAATGATTCGCGTATTTACCTGCGGCAAGACAAGAGCTCAGCCAAGATCTGCACCTGTGAACTTAAACGCAGCTGAATAAAAACCCATGCCACCATTTTTGCTTGTTCTCTGTCGGAAAAATCGTCGTTCCCCATCCATCACCGCGAGGCCTTGACTGTTGGTTGACTGACCGGTCTCTCGCCATGCTTTGTTTGGCCCGCAGGCAAGCAGGTCGAAGAAAGCGGCACCCGGCGCTTCTGAAGAGGAGAAGGAGCTTCTCATGCTCCAACAAGCGGACGAGAGCCTTAGAAAGGCTCAGGAGGAAATCGAACGAAACGTCGGGAAACTGTAGAGCAGCCCTGCCTGTGCCTGGGTACGCACTGCTGTAGCGGTCAGCTCCAGGTTGTTGTGCTTGGACACGCTTGTCACTGCTGTTGTAGGTCTGGGGCGGGGTTGTTACTGCGGCAGGAATTGGGAATGCATTTTTTCCTTGCTGCCGCCTACTTGTTATTCTCCTGTTGGCGGTATTTGTAAGGTTGCTGGGTGACAAGGAGTGCGCCGTTGGTGAAAGGGCGATGCAACATGGACAGCATCGCGATCACCTTCTTGTCGATGGGATTGCCAACCCTGTGTACTGTAGTTCAACGAGACAGAAGGGATACGTTTGGTGTCACGATCGGCCTTATGGTGGTGGCGTTCATTGTTGGCATCAAAGGATGGATGGTCTCATGCCGACCGTGCTTGGTCCATGTCAAGCGAAGAGGATACAAAGTAAGATGCCGTTGGACAACCACCCCGCCCTGTGTGTGAAAGCTGGAAATAATACAAGTTGTGGATTTTTCGGGCTTTCTCGCATCCTGGTGCCCTTCTTTTGGGTTGTACGAGATGTAAGCATTCAAGAGGCTATGCTCATGTATGGTCTCTTGTTTTCTGGCAATGGGAGCCGAAAGATAGCACGGATTGCAACTAGCCTCGGGTAGATCGATAGTGGAGGATGGCATAGGAGGCTCCACCTGCTCAACCCTACCCCCAGACCCTCCCTCGCGCTACACTCTTTATGTCGTGTAGCCACCAGCAGGGAGTGCGACGTTGTTTTTGGACGTGAGACTTACACCTAACCGTGAAGAATGCCTCATCGACAAAAAGTACGTCTGCTTGATGCGATCTTAGCACCGCTGCTACTACTACTGCAGAGCAGTACAGCGTCGTGGGTCCGATGTGGCAGGGTGGCGTGCCACAGCCGCGTCGACTAAAATGAAGAACGGTTAACACTACATACGTTACACATGGCGCCGGCTAGTGTTGGCCGACGCTGGAGCTCTCTCAGTTCCTCTTGTGGGCTAGGCTGGGCTACCAAATATTGCTACATAGGTACACAGGTTTTGGTGTAGGGCTTCACAAATGGTGCCAAGTGCCAAGGTTCTTCTCAACAGTGCTCAACATGTGATAACATGTTACTTCCTCTGTATCATAAGTTAGGGTACCTAAATGCAATAGATTGTCTGGGTGCAACCGTGTTAGTGATGGTAGCATAGTCGGGTTTGTAAGAAAGATATAACAAAGAAGAAGCGATAGAAAATGTTGTAAAAAAAACGAACATCTATTTCTGTACCTAATATTGGTCAAAATATACCCTATTTTGGCCTGTTTTGGGAATATTTTTGGGAAAATATTGTGAGATTTTTTTTGAGAATTCTCGACAAAATTCTCAAAACCATCTAATATTAGTACCCTACCGGCCCACTACTCACTCTAGCGATGGAATCGCCCCCCAGCACACCACCTCGCAAAAGGGGCACCGA